GCAGTTGCGAGCGTTCCGCGGGGATCTGTTCCTCCACTCCAGAGCTACGGTTTGATTCCAGGCGTTGTGCAATGATATTTCGGGCCGTATAGCGGAACAGTTCCGAGTATACGAGTTTTGTAGGCTAAATGAACACGTATTTTAGGAAGGAATCCACCGGGCCGGGATTAATCCGTAACCGAACGAGGCCTTAATAGGGCCCGATCTAACATGTCAGTTCCATCTCTCCTTTCACAACTCTCTCGTGGACATCACCAACTGCCCGTGCACTTGCCGCTCGTGGCGTACCATGCCAACATCGCCTTGTGCTGTTGTGCACCCACCCCTAACGTTGTCGTCCTCTCAACGTGCAGCGCCGCCATGAAATTGTAGTCGCCTCGCCTCTGCCACTCACGATGCGCCGACTCGACAAACACACCCTGCCTTGTCCGTCGTCTCACCCTCTCCACCCTATAGTTGCTGTCATCGTGCCCCTATGGCCGCTGCTAGCATGTCTTCCTCATCGCTACTTGGTGCTCTCCACACAACCGTCATAAATACCAGGATCCGAACAAAGATTACATTGGGATAAATACAGGGACCCGAACAGAGATTACATATCATAATGATGTAATTTATGAGTATGAGGGTCTGGGTGACAAACCCACAACCATACAGTACGATGGAGTAGCAGAAAATAACCTAGTCACCTACAATGGTGACTCGTTGTAAGTATATTATTTTATTTTATTTTATTATTAGAATAGAGAGAAAATTATCTCTTAATTATAAGTTAGTCTCATGCCCACGTTCCAAAATTGTGTGCTAAAAGTTAATATTATTAAAAAATATATATTAGAATTAGAGCTAGTAACCAGTATCTCGTACTGTTAGGATGCCCGGGCGAGGAATTTTAATTTTGCGAGCAGCTTTCCTTTACCATCTCTGACCGAGATTCCATCGTTGGAGCAGGAAAGGCCTGTTTGGATTGATGCCTCCCAGGTAAGCTCGCGCACAGGCAGCCATCCTGGCCCCATGCGCTCGAAATCAAGACGCCCGGGAGCCGCACTTGCGCCAGGCAAGATTCCCTAATCCAAACAGGCCCGAAATCTTCGAAACAGGGCGCTGGCGGCTGGCCGCCGCTGTGCCTGTGGCCTGGCGGAGTATCTGAGAGTGGGTCCATGGGCTAAGCCCTGCTAGCCAATAAAGGAGTATTTGCCCTTTGCCTTGGTCCACAAAAAAGTCAAAACAATAGCCATAGGAAACTGCTCCATTTCGACTGGTGTCAAATTAACGCTACAATATACTAGCGCCACGTTCAAAAAACAATATACTACTAGCGTCACGTTCAAAAAACAATATACTAGCGCCGCACGAACCATACCGTGCCATCCATGCTACTTCATCCGTCACGTACCCTGCTTCATCCCTTCCCTTCCGTATACTTTTGGATCGACCAATGACCCAAAGGAAAGTTTTTTTTTTTTTTGAAAGTAAGACCCAAAGGAAAGTAAACTCAGCATTCCTAGTAAAAACGGTAAGCACAGTTCTGTGTGCTGCCTTCCATGGTTTTTATACTGTTAGTTGTTCCTTGTATGGATGATGTATAATGCATGAACCTAACAAGAAATGATTCTCAAATCTCCCGATGGTTTGTATTGTAAGCGTGCGAAGTTGAATTGATGGATCACTTCGATTTTTAATGTCGTCCCCAGAGCTGTCAAGATTTACCATGATAAAACGAGAGCTGTTTCAGCAAATGTACCTGCAATTTTGGATAACAAAATGGGAAAAACATGCATTTAAGGTTAAGGGGCTGTTTGCAAACAATACTTGTTTGCTGATCCGAGGTTTTATAGCACTCCGTCGTCTGTCCTAAAACATGAAGGATCCAGACGATGGAAATTTCGGTACTGCTAGCGGATGGACGCCCGCGCCTGCTGGCCTGCTGCGCCTGCCCACCCGCTCCATTGCTCGCCCGCCTACTTGCCTGCTGCGCCTGCTCGCTCGCTTGCCTACCCCTGTTGCGCCTGCTCGCTCGCTTGTTTGCCCGCTTGCTCACCCGTGCCGCTCCGTGGGGACCGCCTGCGCCCACCTCGCTTCCCGCGCGCACATGGGGACCGCCTACGCCTACGCCCGCTTGCGGTGTTGGCTCATGAAACATTTGCAACATAAAGAACTTGCTGCAACATACGTCTGAAATAGATGAAACATTTGGAACATACGCTTGCAACATGTGTATATAGCCACTGCAACATTCAGATAAAACACTTGCAGCATACGTCTGAAAAACTGCTGAAACATTTGGAACATACACTTGAAACATACGTGTATAGACATTGCAACATGTGCAACCTCCCGATCTAGTTTTGCAACATCCAGATAAAACACATGCAACATACGTCAGAAACAGCTGAAACACTTGCAACATACGTCAGAAACAGTTGAAGCACTTGCAATATATGTCCGAACACTTGCAAAAACACTTAAAAACCATTGCAAACACATGCAACGTCCATATAAAACACTTGCAACATATGTGTGAGACATATGCAACATCTAGATAAACACACTTGCAACATACGTCTGAAAAACAGATAAAACATTGGGAACAGACTCTTGCAACATATGCAACATCCCGGTCTACTTTTGCAACATCCGTATGAAATACTTGAAACATACATCTGAAACAATTGAAACACTTGAAAGATAGGCTTGCAACATTTCTGAAAACACTCGAAACACTTAAAGACAGCATCGCCGCCAGCCATGGCTTACCTGGTAGGGAACTGCGGTAGCCAGCAAGCTCTAGTCAGGAGGACGTCAAGAACAATGGCCCAGCGTACACCTACGTTGCAGGACTTCCCTTCCTGCCGTGGTGTCTTCGGCTGGCCGCAGGAGACGATGTCTTGACCGATGACGACCTCCTACTTGTGGCGTCGGGCTGGTGGTGGTCCGGTGATGCCACGACCGCGACGGGCGAGGTCGAGTGGGGCGCGGCAAGGGATGGGGCACGACGCGACCGACGATGGGGTGCGGCGCGATGGGGGAAGCGAATTGCGCGACGAGGGACGGGGCACGGTGGGGCAAAGGGGCGCGGCGAGATAGAGTGGGGTAGGCAGATGTGACTCTGAAGAAGAGGCAGAGCCGAAGACTATGTCGGTGGAGGCTGAGAAATAAGTGGATAAGAATTAATGAGTGGTTGAGATGAGTCTAGAGTCCGTTCGATATTTTCGGGAGCGTCCGACGCTAGGGTTGGAGCGATTCTGTTGAAATTTGTCATCCATTACAAGGGATTGAGGATAATTAAGAACACATTTTCGTTAATATTAGTGTGTATCATCTTCTTTCCCCAACCGTAGTACAATCAAAGAGTGCAACGCGCTTTAGTAAGGATTTATATATGAACCTCCCTAAAAAAATCCTCGGATCCGTTCAATTTGGGCACTGAGGGAGAAGTGTAAATATAATTACTGATGGATGAACAAGAGCAAACAAACAAATGAGAGGAGTGAAAAAACCGGGCCCTGTTCGCTCTTATAATCCGTCTTTTTCAGCTTGTTTTTTCAACCGGAACAATGTTTTTCTCTCACACCAAATCAGCCGGAACAGTATTTCGGTTTGTTTTTTTCAGCGAAGCGAACGGGCCAAGGAAATACTTGTCTTGCTGCTAACGGTAGTATTGCTCAGTTGTGGCCAGGTGGGGAGCAGACAATTGTACTTGAATGGATCTCTACTTCTAAATTTTAGAGCACTTTAGCTCATTTTTTATGTCTAAAATTCTAACGTGAGATGGGCTAAAATTTAGAGCTACTTTTAAACCATCTGTTCGGAGCTAAGTTTAGAGCGGAGGATCCAAACAAAAGCAGCCGAGACGTAAAGGCAAACATAATAGTACCAACGTCCAACTTCGCTTCCATGTTTAAAGATAGAAGCAGCAGTGGTTTGTTCCGGACTTCCAGTACAAGAACAGCCAATGCTGTTGGCTACATTTCTTGCTAAGCACTGCCAGTAATTAAAGCCTTAGAGATCATAAATATCCGGATCTGAGCACCTCATACATAAATAAATATAGATAGATATTTTCTTGTTTAAATGTTCCAAAAAAACTGAACAAAATCTGTTACTGTCTTTAAAAAAATACTCAACTTGGCCTTCCTAGGCTGCTAGCAACTAGAATACTCGTGTCCATTACTCTGTATAACACAGTAGCAGGGTCTATACAACTGTTGATTTTTTTTAACAACAAAACATGCCACTGATCTGACATGGATAACCTTGCAGATGCACGCGTCTCAATAAAGCGTCCAGGAGGCAGCAACCAGTCTCAGCAAAGCGCCTAGTTACTTGAGAACGAGAAGGTTAGCCACGCGTCTAACCCAAGTCACCCAAGGATTAGCTACTGGACACGTACCTCAGTAGGAGGGCACGGCCACTGGACAGTAACGGGTTACAGCTGAGGAAGCCAGGAACACAGACGTGGACAGGACGTCGAGCAAACCAGGAGTCCAGGACAGGAGCGCATGTTAGTAGGGTCGGCACCGGCACGGCCGGACCGACCAGGCCAGGCCACCAGTAGCCGTGCTCTCCTTTTGTCGCTGACAAAAGACCGATCGTCCGATTGAACGTCTGCACACCCTTGTCTAACAGTGATGGCCTGATCTTGCAGGCATTCCGATCTGGAGTTGAGCATGAGCCCCATGCCGCGAACAGTTCGGCTGGGCATTCATTTGGACTAGCACCACGGGGAGTACACTACTACAATATGTATACCGTTGATTATTATACTATGGTACCGTTGATTTATGTTATTACAGATATGATGTGTAAACTACCCATCCTTCCAGACGTATTTTGTGTCCATCGCTGCTTCCGATAAGTGGAAACACGAACCTCTGTATAATAACTGTATGTACCCTCCAATGTACAGGCGTATCTGTGGTTTGTTACCTTGTTCCATTCCCATCCCAGCTGAAGTGAGCTCTCAGTCTCAGGGGCAGAGGCCCAGAGGTATGGGATGGTCACCTTGCGTTGCAGCACCACGCCTTGCCTCGCCGAAGCATCTCCCAGAGGCACGCCATCTGCGCCGGCGACTGGTAGTGCGCGGTGAGGTAGTCATGGACGCAGCCGGACTGGCAGAAACCGGCGCTGTGGACGTACGCCACGGTGTTCCCCGTCCCTGAGCGGTTGAATTGCCCCACCCACATCCCCATGCTCACATCCTCCATCTTGAACATCTGAGGAAACGAAATCATTTGTTGTTGTTTATTCCCTTGAAGACTCAGTATGTAATCATTTGTTAAGCACCCGTGCACACAGCCACTGACTGCATGGCGATGGGCACGGCTTTTGACTTTTGGTAAATCTTTTCAGGGTCAGGCATGATTGGGTGGGTTCATGTTTTTTCTGTTTTCAACAAGAGTGGTATCATCCACGGGAACCAAAGTTAAAGCAGGTGGTTCTTGAGTGCTAGTGTGGATCCCATTTGGTTTGCAGGTTGCATGCAGCTAATATATCCTCCGCTACTTGATACGAAATGAGTGGAGAGAGATCTTACATTTAGTCGGCCATTCTCCATTTCAGATGCGACGAAGTTTGCAATGTCAGAAGAAACGACATAGCCTGCACCATCAGCATAAGGCGGGTACTCTTCTCTGGGCCACTCCTGGAATTTGAAAGAATACAAAAGAGTTCAATTGATACACCTCAATCATGCTTGCAGCAGTGAGAGATAATTAGCCTACATGATTGCAGGAGACAATAATGTATTCACGTGGACATCTTGCGATGCTCATGAACTGACAGCCAGTTACATGCCTCACAAATGTCTTGCAAACCATTTGTTCAGTCAAACTCAGTACTGTAGCACCTCTGAAGGATACCGCATCCATAGGGTAGTGACAAGATGAAAATGTAAATGGCAGATCTTCCACTTTAGCAATCGGAAAATACGACAGTTCAATTAATTCACGACATTGAAGTTTCATGCAACTGTTACAAAATAGATAGTTTGATTTGTCATCCTGACAGAGACTCTTTGTTGTGTTTGTACCATGAATGTTTCACTACTTCTCATATCTAACTGGAGTAATAATCAATCTGTGTATCTTAAAAATAAGCCATGGAGATGACATTTTACCTCGTATGAGACAGCCCATTTTCCTCCCGCAGTGGCCTGTGGTAGTAGTTCATGTTCCCCAAATAGAAGCTTTTGCCATCTTGGATTTTTTTTAACTTCAGCCATTACTGAATCAAGTCTAACAAAGGTATCATCATCACACTTCATGACATACTTCGCCGGAACAACACGAGCCTTCGCAGTTCAAACAACAACATGAAAAAATGGGAGAGCAGGTGCATACAAACTGTCAGAAAATGCACACCCTTGTGCTACATACCACATAGTCACAAATGGCAACAGTCTTCAGAACAACCAGATCATAGCTATCCGCAAAAGGGACAATGACAATGTCCCTGAAGAAATCTGCTTCTTTTATCAAATCTTCATTCACTTCCTTTCTGCCGTTCTGCCCTAAAACATGTTTCAGTTATTTATGTTCCTATATATCAAGACAAAAACGGAGGAAGACAATTTTTTTCGAGGTATTACCAATGCAACAAAAAAACGTGCCACTATGCTTGATGAATTTCGCACCAAAGACATCCAAGATCTCCTCACGGCCATACGCTCAGCGAAATCGCTCCCTGCTGAAAGAACGCCTATGAACAGCTCAACATTCTCTTTGCCAAGAGGAGGCGTTTTTAGTTCTGTCAGCAACTCCAGATTTCTTTGTACAATGCTTGGATGAGCCGTTGGTAAAGAACCAGCTACTATTGATTTGATGTCAATATTACCATTCACAGAAAAGATTTTGGCATCCTCAAGAACAAAGCCCTTGAAATAAAAAAAAAATTGCACCAACAGATTAGAACATTTTAGCAATTAAGAAACAAGAACAGGGCACACGTAAACTAAATCAAGTAAATGGTTTAGAAAGGAAGCTCAACTTACAACACGGTAAGGAAAAGATGTGACATGCTTCCCATCAACATGAAAATGGTAGCCTTCTAAACCAGCACTTAATGTTAGAACAAACAATTCTTCCTCCAAGAATGGATATGGCCAATGTATCCAATTTCTGTTATTCTTTCCAGCAACACGGTTCTGCAACCACAATCTCTTCAACTCCTCTGATGCACCACCAATGTTTCCAGACCATTCCTCACATGTCACTAATCCATCAACTGCGCTAAGGGTTAGCAATATAAGAGATCTGACATCAATAATCTGCCAAACTTTTTTCATGATGTCAACAGTTCTCATTACAAACAATTTATGTAGAATACCATCCTGTTGTCAGGCAGGTATCCTCTAGGAATCAGGTATACATTTTAACTATGGAGATGTTGGGCAACATTTTGTAGAAACTAGAAAGGATTGTGTCCACCATCTCTATGGTCTATAATATCTACACGGGTGCATCAGCATAAACATTTCGTACAATGTATATAGATTATGTAAGACCAAAGAGACAGAAATCCTCCTTTTTTTTAAAAAAAAAGAAAACGATCCTTTCTAGTGATAAGGTGGTATCCACAGCTATTCTGTGTTGTTTATGATTGCACAACTGAGCGCGCTCAGGGTACAAATGCTTGATGGGAGGTTCAGTTATACTGGGTTTCATCTGTTGCTGAGCTAGGAGCCTAGGAATAGCAACAACTAACAGACACACTACATCAAAAAATCATAACATGTGCACTACCACTACAGCTAACAGATATGCTACAGCAGGAAATGATAACACGAATACTGTCATGTTAATGGAAAAGAAACAATCCATGAATTGCTTCTACCACATGTGCCAACAGCTCTAGTAAAAATGGTGGCAGATGCTGCAAGGCTTGTACCACAAGATAAGTAGGCTGCCAAGCCAATGCTGTAAGGCTTCAATGCCATAATCCAGCAATAAAATCAGGTGGGGTTGCATGGCTTTGCTATTCTGGACAAGGAGGTATGTCTACTTTTATAGAAGCATCAACTAAACCAAGGAAACTTATTGTTGGGAAGGACCAGAATGGGTTGTGCAGCAACATATTCTTGGGCTCATTCAGTTTGTCAAAGATCAACTAAACTGTCTTGCTGCCCTCCTCAAAAGAACAATCACTACAGTACTCTTAGAACGACATTTTCCTATCTACACTTCGTTAGGAGTTTCCCAATGTTGGAATGACATACCATTCCATCAATAAAAGTAGGAACGCTATGGCTATCAGTATCTTAAGTACTAGTAGGAATTGAGCAACACAGCCGGTTGCAGCAATTTTCTATTTGAATAGTTCCCTAGGATCCACTGGTACAGTCAGATTGCAAACAAATAACCCCATATGTCAAAAGCTACAATGCTAATTAATGGAACATCCCAAAAGAGCCGAGAGGCAGAGACTTTTGTGCACCAACCGTACGATCAAAACTACAATCATAGAAACACCTACCCTGAAGGCGCAAACACAGCTCTCTTAATGCAAAGTAACATCCTAATTTACTCTGTTGAGTACCATCACGTTTTTTTCCTACTATATAAACTGGTTCCTCACGGATTTGGGCCACCATTGACGATTAATCCTCCAGTTTATTTAACAGTATCACTATCACCGTGCAATCATGAAGAAGATATCGACGGTAAAAAGTACCACTGGTACTGTCACAGCAAGCAAGGAAGACACAGGGGCATCGACGCACCGGTCTCCTCGTCGGGGCGCGACGGACGGCCATCGCACCGGAGCGCGGGTCCCCATTGTCCGCGGAAGCGCGTATTCAGCTCGATCACCGGGCGGCGGCTCCAGTCCCCGCTGAGCCGCGGGTTGAAGTGCAGTATCCTCGGCGCCGCGTCCCCGTCGCCTTCCCCGCGCAGCTCCACCGCAAACTGCGCCACGCCAGCGGCGCCTCCACCGCCCCGCGGCGCGCCGACCAGCGTGACGTGTGACCCCAGCGCCAGCCCGCAGGGCAGGGGCAGCAGGACGCCGCCGCCGCCAGCATGGCGGAGGCGGAGATACGCGCCCGACCGCGTGATCGAGGCCGGGCACCGCGTTGCGCCGCCGACACCCACGGCCGCGGGCGGCGGCGCGGGGGCGGATGACGAGGGGGAGGAGGAGAGGACGTCGCGGAGGAGGCGGCCGCCGGACCGGAAGGCGCGCGCGGCGGCCGCGTGCAGCGGCGGGGCCGGGGCGGCGGCGTCGAGCGCGCGCACGTCGAGGGTGGAGATGGGCAGCCGATGCTGCCGGTGCCGGGACGGCGAAGCGGCCTGCTGCGCCGTGTCAGAGCTGGGGAGGAGGCGGTCGGCGGAGTGTAGGGAGAAGGTTGCGACCGAAACGAGCGCGGCGAAGGGGAGTAGCAGCAGCACCCGGCGGAGGCCGCCGCCGGTGCGGCGTTGCCGGCGCATGGGCGGTGCCGGCACGTGTTGGATTTTCTGGAGGGTGGTGAGCGGTGACGACAGGAGGGAAACGGTGCGTTCGAGCGCGACTGCGCGGCGGGGTGCGTTCGAGCCGAGCTTTGCAAAATTCGCGAGGTTTAAGGTGCAGGACAGCAGGTTTCGCGTGCAGGTCCTTTGTGAGTTTGCTAATTACGGGGTTTTTTTTGCTCTCGGGTAGTTTGTTTGGACTCAAAACGTTGCCATTCGCTTGAGATAAAGGACACAGTACCCGGGTACTATACAACTATATTAAATTAATTAAAGAAGATGTGCAATTATCAGCATGGTCAGTCATGGAACATGTGTTGTATTATCATCGTAAGGACCTAAATCGGCTCTTAAACATTAGCATGGCATCGCGTACCGGCTGTTTTAAGGGCTCAAAAGTAAGGGAAGACTTTATATATAGTCGTCCGGGTTTATAAATAATACTCATTCATTTCAAATAATAAGGTATTTTAGTTTTTCTAAATACATTACTTTTGCTATACATTTAGATATACACTATGTTTAAATACATAGCAAAAACTACATATCTAGAAAAACTAAAATACCTTATAATTTAGAATAGAGAGAGTAATAGCTAACAAATATATCGGTGTTTTACTACGAGTAACAATCTTACATATAACTTGCAGACATATCCGTTTGAGCACGTGGTTGATGCACAAAATCTTCAAAAGCTAAATTTTAGATTAGTTTAGCTCAAGATTATAGTCTAATGAACTAATGCTCTTTTTGTGGGATTAACTAAACTCTAGACACAATATGTTTAGAGCTTCAAGAGCTAAGGTGGTTTAAAGTTTAGTGGCTAAACTTTAGACTAAGAGATCGAAACAAGGGCAGGCATGTTGCTACATGTCAGCCGTCTTAAATGTCATCTCATAAAATGACACATGATTTTTAATGACATGGATGAGAACCGGAAAGGTGAGAGAAAGATATAGTTGTTTGGTGAAGCAACCGTCTCACGAGCAAAAATTTAGTACAAACCAAGAGACAACCATTTCATCATTGTATAATTTAATATTGACATACAATTTACAATAACTTTTCATTGTTGATTATAAAAGATAAGAATAATTAATTAATAAGATAACTCATTATATGCGTTGGGTGTTCATTCAGTTATCTTATAATTATGCAGCACTATATAAAATCATCTATGAGACAATGTCAACGCACTTGTCCTGAGTAATTCTACTCAGAACTCGAATAAAACGCGACTCCCGACTTCGTTCGTTAGAATTCGAGGTGGCATGCGTGGCCGAGCCCAAGCAAGTCGATCGTTGCGCCGCTTCCAAGCAGAAATCAACGCAAAGTTTCCTTCGTCAGGCGGGGGCCGCCCACGCCACGCGGGCGCAGCGGGGCAGGCAGATGGCGACGGGCCTAGCAGGCGCGTGGAGGCGGCGGTCGATTATCACGGCGCCCTCCGCCTAGGACGATCCGCCGTCCGGCCGGCATGCTCGTCACACGCGAGTGTTCAAGCCGAGTCGCTCACGTCGCTCGAGCTGGCCCTCAAGGCGTGCACCGATGACGTAAACTTCAAATCTCATTTGTGAATTTTTTTAAGCCTCTCATCTGGGTATAGCCGTTGGATCTTGTACGTGTACGAACGCATGCCCACCCTACCCACACACACACCACACGTGCATAACTAGACCTATAACATACCCACTCACACCATACGTGCACAACTAGATCTACAACTACAAACATACCACAGATCATCGACTAACATACATACACAACTAGACCATTAACTACAAGAGACAGATTGGAAGAATAAAACCCTACGGTGAGGCTTTTTTGATTCTATCATCGAGACCAACACCTGCATTCAGTGAACCACGACGAGCCAATCGTGCATAAAATCTCATTTGTGACAATCCCATTTTCTATCACTATGAAAAAGAAGCTGCAAATGAAGACGGGAATAAATACCCCGAGTTGATGAAATAAAAAACTAATTGCACAGTTTGGTTGTCGATTCTAGGAATCGAACCCAACCTGCCGCTCATACAACCACGAGCGAGCCAATCGAGCATAAAATCTCATTTGTGAATTGTGATGTGTTTAACCCGTGTGGGTCTATTCCTTTTCAGGCTAGGGGTGTGACTGGATTTATACTAGTTTTTGGATTGAAATAAGGCTCCATTACTGAAAAGGAATAAATTTGTTCCATAAAGTGCTAGGAGAGGTGTATTGATTTACAGCCTGTTCGACAGCTCGTATCCGGCTTATAACCTTTGGCTTATCAGCCAACGAACAATATTTTTCTTTTACACCAAACCAGCCAGCAGTACTTTCACCCATGACTTATAAACCAATCCAGCCGAAATGAACATGCTTGCTTTTAGATGCATCATGACCATTAGCAGAACCGCATGAATCACTCCATTGCATAAATCAAACACTGACAAATTTTCGCAAAAAAAAAACACTGACAAATGACATGTAACTAGATAAGAAACTAACCGTTGACGGCTTGATGCTTATTTGAATAGAATATTGTAGAAATTAAGAATGTGATTTTTTTAAACAACAGCTGAGGTAGAATAAAAACTTTCTCTTAGCTTTGGGTTAGATCTGTCGTCGTCGTCTTCATGGGAGCCATTGTTAAGCTCCTGCAGTACCGGACCTTGAACGTCGTTTGGACCTTGACCTTCGTATTCGGTGTCACTAGTATCATCTTCGTTACTTCGAAGGTCGATTCATCACTATCATCACTACTACCATAATAAATCTCATCGTCGATCCTTTAAAGTTTGTTTATGAACTTGTCAACGCGTGGAGGCTCAATATTTACCTTCTTGGGAGCAACCGGAGGCATAATATTGCCCTCCTTGGGAGAAGGATTCGACTGCCCATTAGATGGTGCACGAATTAAATTCACTATGTGAAAAACGGTTTGTAGCAATGGGATAAATTTTTTTAGAGGCGGCTGGTAATAAAGCCACCCCTACAGTGGCGTGTTCGGGATCCACGAGACCAGCCACCCCAATAAATGGAAGAGCAGGGGCGGCTGGTGATACGAGCCACCCCTACAAATAGGTAGAATTTGTAGGGACGGCTCACTCACTAGCCGCCTCCGGTGTTGCTATTTATAGAGGCGGCTGGTGATTGAGCCGCCCCTACAAATAAAACAGTAGAGGCGGCTGATAATACGAGCCGCCCCTACAAATGCGTGGCTGCTGGACGAGCGCGGACCAAAAAAAATTATCTAATCCGGTGAACCAAAGAGGTCAGGTCCGCACTTATCCAAGCCCCGTCCTCTCTCCTCTCTCCTGCCCCGTCCTCTCTCCTCTCTCCTCTTCCTCTCCCTCCCCGCCGTCGTCGCCACCTCTCTTCCTCTCCTCTCCCTCCGCCGTCGTCGCCTCTTCCTCTCCCTCCGCTATGGTACACGGGTAGCGAATCCGGTTGAATCTGCAGCCCTCTTCCTCTCCCTCCGCCGTCGTTGCCACCTCTCTTCCTCCTCGCCGCTACCACCGCGCCTCCCCCTCCCCCCAACCACGATGGCTCCACGGAGGCCATATCTGGTGAGGAGGTAGGCAATCTGAGAGCGAGCGCTGGGCGTGGCCCTCCACGGGAGAGATCTAGAGGGAGGGAGATGGGCGACGAGGTTGCGGCGGCGGGGATCCCGCACCAGATCTCCATTGTCGATGGCGCCCTAGCGTCCACCCGCGCGTCCAAAGTGTGGGTCGGCAGATCCAGCCGAGGCTGGTCCGTCCCAGGCTCTCCATGGCGGCCACCACCGTCCCTCGGCGAGGTCAAGGAGCTGCCGGATCTGTTGAGGTTCCGCTCTTTCTCTCCCTCGGTAATGGTGCTTTCGTCCTGCTTACTCTCTCCCCTCGATTTCTCGATTTGATCCCTCACCGGAGCAAAGCGAGGCAGCTAGTCGAGAGGTCGGCAAAGCAGGGTGCAAAGAAAGATCGCTTCAATTTGCCAAACTATTGTCATGTTAAAACATTTCTGCTTTTTACCTTTATTTTATCTCAGATCATTTCACCACTTGAAACAAGTCCGGATCTACGCCTTGCCTTGCCGCTGATGTGGTTTTGGCGGCCGGATCCGCCATCAATTTTGGTCGCACGCCAGTCAATTGGCGGATGTGGTTTTGAATCTTATGGCCGGATCTACCCCGCCTTGCCGCTGCTTTGTTTGTTTTCCCCGTCGGCCGCCCAGATCCTCCTCGACCGACATCTCCTTTCTCCTTTCCAGCCGCCTTACATCATACCAAAGAACGCAAAGGATCGGAGGCTACTCCATCCAGGCAGCAAGGTAACCCAAATTTCTTCTCAGATCTTTGGATGGTACAAAGCACACTTATTGATGTTTTTGGATGGTATAAATCAGTTCTGTCTTGTGTCCTCTGAATTATCTGTTGAAACCTTTTTGATCGTTAACATCTCTACTAGACCCCATGTTGTCTAATTTTCTAATAAGTAAAATAACTTCCTTGGATAAATTTACTTTGATACAACATGAAAAAGGTATTGTATCATGATTGGGCATTTTTCTATAATTGCAACTTAATTCTTTTAAGAATTTTAGAAATGGATATCCATATTCTAGCCAGGATGGCAATGCTAAGAAAATCATTGAATATTTTTAGAAAACATCTTTTATCGAGTCATCATCGATCTTATCTCATTAATCATTTGCTTTATCTTCTGCTTTTGGTGGCAATATTCTTTGCTTTGACCTCTCGAGTACTCTTTCCCCAACAAGCCGCACCCAAATGCATGAATACATGTGAATGATGTGAGCTTTACTTTTGTTTGCTGGATGGCATAGAATGAATAGCCTCCTCCATTATGTGTTGTTGCTGTAGCTTAAATGATTTCTGCAGTCATCTTTACTCCTTATGTTATTTATAGGAAGAAACATGAGATAATTGTACTTTGGATGACAATGTTGATATATGAGTCATGAGCAACAAAATGGTTGAACAAATTGCTTCATTTTGT